TTTTTATATCACTCAGTTTTTATAGTTTCCTAATTTCTTCAATGGTCAATGAACACCAATAAGGTTGGCTTTAAATTTCCAAAAACTACAGGATTTGGACAGGTTATTTTGAAGGTCTGAAGGTCATTTGTATAATATCAATCTTTTGGAATTTGTTGAAACTCATGCTTTCTAGCACAGTGAAAAAACAGATTATATATGCTAGAAGAGCTTGAAATAATGTGAATTCTCAAGTTGTTGGCTACAGGATTCTTTATATAAATCCATTAGATCAAGATTGTTAATTGTCTTATTTAACTCTTCAAGTCCTTGATTAATTTTTTGTTGCTTAATCTAACAATTCCTGTGTGTAAATTTTCCCTGCATGATTACAGACTTGTTCTTTTTTCCTTAAATTCCTGTTAATTTTCATTTTGGAGACTAAATAATTAAATACATATAAGTTTAGAGTCTTTTTTATACTGTAGGGTTGTGTTGGCAAATAAAAAAAAGAATTAAAAAAACTGTAAGTTTAAAATTGTTATATCTTTCTGGTTTAGAGCCTATCTATCTTCCTGGTTAAGTGTTACTTAAGAGTGTTATTTAAGAGTTACTTAAATATAACATAATAGTAATTTTTAACACCAGTAATGCTTGTTATATTTAAGTCTATTCTGTGACACTAATATAGTTATATCAATTTTGTTTTGGTCAATATGTGCTTGAAATATTTCTTTCTATCCCTTTACTCTCAACTTTCTGTGTCCGTGTGCTTCAGGACATCTCTTATAACCAGCATAAAGCTAAACAATCTCTGCCTTTACACTGGCTTTTTAATCAATTATAATTAATTATCTGTACCCAAAAAAAGTCCTTGCAAAGGTTTCAATCTCAGAATGTGTCTTAGTCCATTTGTGCTGCTATAACAAAGTACCACAGACTGGGTAATTTATAAAAAACAGAAATTTATTTCTCACAGTTGAGAAATAAGGCTGGAAAGTCCCAAATCAAGGCATTGGCAAGTTAGGGCCTAGTCTCTCTGCTTCCAAGATGGTGCCTTGAATGCTGTGTCCTCCAGTGGGGAAGAACATTACCTCCTCACAGGGTAGAAGGTAGGAGGGTAAAAACGAGCAAACTCCTCTGTCAAGCCCTTTTATGACAGCATTAATTAGTTTGTGAAATCAGAGCCCTAATGACCTAAGTACCTCCCAACACTGTTGCATTGGGGATAAAGGTTCCAATGCAGAAAATTTGGGGGACACATTCAGACCATAGCAGAAAGTCAACATTCACTCTAGTTCTTCAAAAGGCTCCAAAAATAGTCTTCCTGTCACATCTCTACCTAAAAATCTTAATTAGCTATTTATACTCTCCAGTTTAAAATACAAATCCCTTGGTATAACACATAAAGTGATTTACTGTCTGGAACCAGTCTGTCTTTTTGTTTTTTTTGAGACAGAGTCTCACTCTGTTGCCCAGACTGGAGTGCCATGGTGTGAAGCTTAAACTCCTGGGCTCAAGCAATCCTCTTGTCTCAGCCTTCCAAGTAGCTGGGACTATAGGTAATGTGCTAATTTTTTCTATTTTTAGCAGTGACGGTATCTCGCTTTTGCTAAGGCTGGTCTCAAACTATTCAGCTAAAGCCATCCTCCTGCCTCAGCCTTCCAGAGTGCTACGATTATAGGCATGAGTCACTGTACACAGCCCAGCCTGCCTTTCTTGCCTCATCTCCTACTACATCTATTTACTTATATGTACATAAAACTATTTCTAGTTCTTTAGCAATGATGCTCTTTGATACATTTGTATCTGCACATGCTGCCCAGAATGTGTCTGTCCCACTTACTCACCTTGTGAAAGCAAAGTCAATACTCTATCTTAAAAATCATCTCTTATCTAAGTTGCATACAGGAAACTAGTAGTTCTTCCTCTGTACTTTTTATTAGCAGCCATATTATGAATCTGGTCTTCATATGTTACATCTCACTATTTCAAATAACAATGTACAAAGCTTATCTGAATAAATAAAGTCTGAATATTAAAATTTAACCACACAGTTTACATAATAGTTATAGTTTGTTAGTATTTACTACTTAAAAAGCATCCTGTATTTCTTTTTTCATTTAATCTTCATATATCTATATATGTCAAGACAATATCGTCTTGATTTAATAGATGAAAAAACTGAGGCTTGGGAAGGTTAAATAGTTTGCCCAAGGTAACAAAGCCACTGAGAGATAAAATCTAGTTGTCACCAAAATCTAAACATTTTCCACTAAGCCATGTTGCCCATCAAATACATACTGTAACTTGAACTAGGCTAACCAAATATTGCTGTGAAAATGTTCTTTAAATGAAAAAATGATTTAAAGATTGGATTAGAGTGGTTTTTAGAAGTGCACATGAAAATAAATATTTAACCAATTTATGACAAATACTTTTTTCATAACCTGATTTATATCACAGTATAACTCTTTAAAACACTTGTTATCAAAGAAGATAAAAATGCAGATTATGCTTTTACTCTGCATAAAAGCTCCTATATTCATACTGTTATAAAATATTATTAAACTGAAAAATTTTAAATTAAAAGTTAATTGGCATTCAAAGTTAATGGTTTCCTCTTCACAGCTACCTAAAAAAACTTTACCTCAAGACATAATTTATACAAAATTGAAATTTGTATTCCTAAAGGAAAATCCAACGATACTTTCTTATGAATTGAGTTTCTTTTTCTATCATATCTGAGGCAAAATTTCCCTTTAAAGAGTTCTTGCACCAGGCATGGTGGCTCGTACCTGTAATCCTAGCTCTCTCAGAGGCTTAGGCAGGAAGATCACTTGAGCCCAGGAATTGGAAGTTGCTGTGTCCTAGGCTGATGCCACGGCACTCTAGCCCAGGTGACAGAGCAAGACTCTGTCTCAAAAAAGTAAATAATAATAAAAATAAAGAGTTCATGTAACATTTTATTTAATTTTATTAGAGGTAATCTTAAAGGTTATTTCTCTGTTACTGTTTTAAATTCAATGTATTGGTTTTAATTAGGTCTTACAACTTAATTTTCAGAACTAAGTAAATACCATTACATTGATAATCATTATCAGTCTTCTAGGAATTAACTTCAATCCAAATGCCAATAACATAATATCCACACATGAAAATTTTAATGGAAACTGAAATAAAATAGTGAACAAAAAAAGAACATTAAGTTATTCCAATGCCAAATTTCTGAAATTTTTTCACTTCAAATATTAACTAGATTTTACAATATGTAATATATCCTTTTATTCCCTTCAAAACATATTTGCTTTAAAAACACATACCTTTTTCCTTGTTTAGTTTGTTCAAGTAAGTCCACCTTCAACTTTATACATTCCTCTCTGCACACCTGCAAACTCTGTTCTTTTTCAATGACCATTTTCTGGCTCTGTTCTAATTTTTCTTCTGCCTCTCTATAAAATAAAGGATTATATTTTTTTAAAGGCAGCAGGCAGGAAAGGATATTTTTTAAAAACTATTAAAGAGATTATTCCAAGTATGTAAGAATAATTCAATAATAGGAATTCTATTACTTTAAATCAAGGAGTTGAGAGAAATAAATCTATAATGAGAGACAAGGAAAAGGCATATTCATCACCTCTCAAAAGATTTTTAAAAGGAATAAAAGAATACTTCCGGGGAGGAGGATCAAGATGGTGGACAAGAAACACCACCAGAAAGAGTGTCTCTGCAGAAAAGACAGATTCTAGCAGAAATTAGAAAAAGAAGCAAGAAGGCGAGCATACAGCAGACGAGGGCCAGAAGGAGGGTACTGAGACCCCGGAGACTCACGGAGGAGGCTGTGGAGGAGAACTGGAAGCTGAGACCGCCGGAGCAGCCGGAGACCAGTGGAAGGGTAGGTGGATAAATCACCTTTCCTCCCCTGCATTTGGGACTACTGGTGGGCTCCCCAGGGTGGAGAGACCTGCGGACACCAGCCCAGAGACGGCCCCGCCAGCTAGTGGTGAGCCTGTAGCGGACACGGTACCAGACTCCCAAATCCTCGGGGCACCCCGTGTGCACAGACCGAGCAGCGCGGCAGGCATCATATGCCCCTCTCCCTCCGCCGACCCTACCTGCGGCTGCCCAGAGAGAAATACAACCACCAGCCGGACAGCACTCCAGGGACCGGACTTCCTTTTGGGACCCTACAGCTGACCAAGGGGAATTCAGACTGTAAGCTCCCTACCCGCCAGCCCTCCCGGGCGTCGGCACGGTGTTCCAGGAATCGGTGCTGACTCAGAGGCTGAGGGACACAGACACAGCTTGGGCTCCTGTGGTGAATTGGACCGGAACTCCTCTCCTGGTGGGGATACAGTTTGAACTCTGGACCAGAGGTCGGACCTGCAGACAGTCCCATGCACCGAGGTCTAGCATTGCCCGGGGCACAGAAGGGATATTTGTGAACAGCCTGCTGAGGTGTGTGTGCCTCCAGGGGCAGATCAGCGTCTAGAGGGCAACCCTCCCACCAAGGGAGCCGTGCGCCAGCCCAGGCAGCGTTCTGCACAGGGAACCTCCCCGCCGGCATCACAATTCGGGGAGGCCTGGTGACGTGTGGTCTAGCCTGCAGGCAGAGGCCCAGGAGTAGCTGCGGAGTTGGGGAGGGTGGAAAGAAGCCAGGTCTGCTCCAGACTGCGGGTCTCAGACAGCCCCACCCCCACAAGCAGACTTTCTGGCTGAGTGGGACCATTCCAGCCCCGCCCTGACAGCTTTTCCTGGAAGCAGAGAACAGAACTTTGACCCCTGCTAATGGCATTGGTGGTGCCTGAGGGCAGGCTTACCCAACCCAGCTCCGCCTAGAACAAGAGCTGATAACAGGACACAAAAACAATAGCATAGCCTGTTCCTCAAGCAAGCGCCACCTACTGACAGGGACGGCATCCTGCACAGCTTTTCATGGCACCCACTGACTCATTATACAGGGAGTGGTCAAATCTCACCCAGACACCACCTAACGGCTCAGAAACTAACAAGGCGTGTGAATACCAAACAAAAACCTAAAGGAAAGAAACAACTGATCAACATGGGAAGAAATCAGCGAAGGAACTCAGGAAATATGAAGAACCAAATGGAAACACACCCCCAAAGAGGAGCACCAACCCAAATCAGGCAACCAAAATGACAGAAGAGGAATTTCATATGTGGATCATAAGAACACTCACCGAGCTGCAACAACAACTCAATAACCAACACAAAGAAACCATAAACCTCCAGGACCTAGAACAAAGTTCACTAAAGAAATAGACACAATGAAGAAAGTTAACCGAACTCCTGGAAATGAAGAATCAATTACGGAACTCAAAATACAGTGGAAAGTCTCAGAACAGGGTAGATCAAACAGAAGAAATCTCAGAGATTGAAGATAACACCCTCCAACTAAATAAAACCATCACAGAGATAGAGCAGAGAAACAAGAGAAAAGAGCAAAGCCTACAAGAGCTGTGGGATTATGTGAAGAAACCTAATGTGAGGGTCATAGGCTTACCAGAAGGGGAAAGGACAACCCCAAGGGTTGGACAAGCTATTTGAAGATATAATAGAGGAAAATTTCCGAGGCCTTGCTCAAAATCTCGATATACAAGTTCAGAAGCTCAGAGGACCCCTGGGAATTCAATGCAAACAGAGACGTCACAACATGAGTCATCAGACTGACCAAATATCAATTAAGAGGCCCTTCTAAGAGTTGAAAGATAAAGAAGCAAGTAACATACAAGGGAAAGCCAATTCGAATAACACCAGACTTCTCTAATGAGACTTTACAAGCAAGGAGAGACTGGGGCCCCATTCTCACTCTCTGAAACAAAAAATGCCCACCCTAGAATCTTATTCCTGCAAAATAAGCTTCATATATGAAGGAGAAATAAAGATGTCTCAGACAAGCAAAGTCTCAGAGAATTCACCAAGACAAGACCAGCACTACAAGAAGTACTCAAAACAGTGCTACGCACGAACACCATAACAAAAACTCACGAATATAAAAACAACCAAAACCCAAAGATTGGCCGGGCGCGGTGGCTCACGCCTGTAATCCTAGCTCTCTGGGAGGCCGAGGCGGGTGGTGCAAGGTCGGGATTCGAAACCAGCCTGAGCAAGAGCGAGACCCCGTCTCTACTATAAATAAAAGAAACTAATTGGCCACTAATAATATAGAAAAAATTAGCCGGGCATGGTGGCGCATGCCTGTATTCCCAGCTACTTGGAGGCTGAGACAGAAGGATCGCTTGAGCCCAGGAGTTTGAGGTTGCTGTGAGCTAGGCTGATGCACGGCACTCACTCTAGCTAGGCAACAAAGCAAAACTCTGTCCAAAAAAAAAAAAAAAAAACCAAAGATTAAAGGCCAGATAATACAATGGCTCAAGACAGAAATCAAAGCAACAACATCCAACCAACAGAATGAACAGTAATCTACCTACCTATCATCTTCTCTCAGTAAATGTGAATGGCTTAAACCTCCACTCAAAGACATAGGCTGGCTGAATGGATAAGAAAATACAGGCCAAGTATATGCTGTCTTCAGGAAACACATCTAACCTGCAAGGATGCATATAGACTAAAAGTAAAAGGGTGAGATCAGTATTCCAGGCAAGTGGAAGCCAAAAGAAGGCTGGCATGGCAGTTCTAATTTCAGACGATTTAGTTTTTAAACCGACAAAAGTAGTGAAAGACAAAGAGGGTCATGATATAATGGTGAAGGGCACACTTCAACAAGAAGAGATAACAATTTAAATATATATGCACCCAACTTAGGTGCACCCAGTTTCATAAAGCAAACCTTACTGGATCTAAGCAAATGGATTAATAGCAACTCCATAATCACCGGAGATTTCAACACCCCACTGACGGCACAAGACAGATCCTCCAAACAGAAAATTAATAAAGAAATAATGGACTTAAACAAACCTTGGAACAACTGGGTCTGACTGACATCTACAGGACATTCTACCCAAAATCCACTGAATATAGTTCTCTCATCAGCTCACGGGACATTCTCTAAGATTGACATATCCTAGGACACAAAGTAAATCTCAAGAAATTAAAAAATAATAGAAACATACCATGTACCTTCTCAGATCACAGTGAATAAAAGTAGAAATCAACCTAACAGAACTCACATTTCTACACAAAAACGTGAAATAAACAACCTCCCTACTAAATGATTATCATAAATGAAGAAATCAAGATGGAAATAAAAAAATTTC